TCAATGCAAAGACAACACATCAAATTTAACAACGTTTATTTACCAACTAAATAAACAATGAAAAAAACATCTATTGCCTTCCGGCCACTTCGTTTATCAGTCTTGTCAGTTTGCGCCCTCCGGCGACATTCCTTATTTCCACAGACGTAGTAGTATCTCGGCGTAGCATCTCATCTAGCGACTTCCCTATAGGCGTCTTACATCCCAGCTTGGTTACATACAGGTCCTCGAATTGTAGACACACACAGGCTCGATCCGCTTTCCACTTCTCCCCATCGCCGGACCATGCTTTGAACAAAAAACCACCTCCATCGTGGAATCTAACTCACAGCAAAGTTAATATAGAATAGATCAGAAAATAATTAACTTACACTGCGCTGTAATTGAAATTCTTTGAGCAGAAAGGCTCTCCACCTCTAGAATGACTGTTTGGTCGTACTATATTCTAAATACAGTACGACGCACCTCTCCTCGGAGTAGCATAGACAGGACTTGCTCCTCAAATAGCCACATTTCTTCGAGATGGTTCGCTGGTCGAGTAATATCTGCTACGCTCATTAGAGTCCGCAAGCCATGCAAGCCCTTCATCCTGACAAGCTGTTGCACCTTGTATTCCAGATCAGCAGCCCTCCTACGATTGTTTTCCGCCGTGATTATCGCCTCTCTCAATTCGTTTTCTAAATTGCAAATCAACGCTTCCACCTTTCACTATATAAAAAAACGATAATAACAAATGAAAAAAGTTTTTTTCCAGCAATTACTTACCAGGCCACCTTTCGTGGCCGGCGAGGAAACGCGGAAGTTGGTTCCGATGGTGACACCGAAGTATCGTCTTCTGGATTCCATTGAGGGCTGGCTGGACTCCAGTCCGGCGTCGGCGTACTGTTATTTCCAAAGCGAATAACATTGTCAGTGGGCGATCGGATTGCACTTCCTCGTAGAAAAGCCATTTTTCCTACAATATCTTTGTATCATCGGAAAAAAATCAAATCGAAATCACATGAGACTTTTAAGCAACAATGAAAATAGGCACAGCTAACGAACTCATTACACATTCCAACTGATTATGATGTCGGAAGAGGAGATTTATAGTTCCACTTGACAGGCTTTGGGCCAAACCTGACAAATGATCGCAAATGCACCTTTCGGCTGCGCTGAACTTAATCCTGACATATTGCA